CCGGCAGCGCGGGTTAGGCGCAGACTTATCCCTGCTTAGGTTTCAGGATAGAATACCCCAGAATCTAACTCTGGTATCTTTTTGTACGGAGAAAGACTAAACCGGCAGCGCGTGTTAGGCGCAGACTTATCCCTGCTTAGGATTCGGGATAAACTTCCTAGGATGAATCCTAGATTGACAAATTCTTGGAAAAGGTTGGTGTCTTCTCTTGGGGCAAAGACGAACCCAAAATGGGAGAGGAAGAATTTTATATTCTATCTCCCGATACTGAAGAAGAAGAATTTTATATTCTATCTTCAGCTGGAAAGGAGACTCGAGGTGGGATCTCCACCCCCAGAATCCGGAAAGGTGAAACTAAGAGTGGGATCTCCACTCCGAGAATCAAAAAGATTCGGATAACCCTAACTGTCGGAAGGTTTGATTACCGGTAGGAAGGTTTGATCACTTAATTTGAAAGTGGACCTCTCGTTCATTGGAGGAATCGAGAGGGGATTTTGACTGTGGTCTTAACTGTAAGAAGGTTTGACCAATTGGGAGGTTTAAGACGATCCTAACTGTAGGAAGATTTGATCGCTTGATTTGTGGGCCTCTCGTTCATTGAAGGAATCGAGAGGGGATTTTGGTTGTGGTCCTAACTGTAGGAAGGTTTGACCAATCGGGAGATTTGAGACGATCCTAACTGTAGGAAGGTTTGATCGCTTGATTTGTGGACCTCTCGTTCATTGGGAGAATCGAGAGGGGATTTTGACTGTGGTCCTAACTGTAAGGTAGTGTTGTCAGCTTTCTCCTGATTTGTGATAGGTGGTAGCTTGATCTTGTTACTTTCAAGGAGGGATTCGAAGATGGCTGAAACGTCTTCGTCCTTGAAAGAGTACTCTTTTTGGAGTCTCAGACCCGAAGTCTTTTGCTGCCTTCGGGATTGCTGTTGTGATGTTTGATTAGCACCATCAGCAGCTGCAGGTGCCTTGCCCTTACCACGAGAGGCGAAGTTTGAGTCTATCGGATTAACCGTCAGTTGGTTCCTCTCGGCCTTCTTCCTTCTAAGGAATCGCTCAGCCTGCTCCCCTCGGACCTTCAGATCCTTCCAAGTGTCAGACGGTGCTGTCAGACGGTGCTATTCCCATTGCTTCCAACACGTCCAGTGCGAGGTTGTTGTGGCAAGTCTGGAGAATGAACTCCTCAGTGATCGGGTCCTGACAATTCATCGCATTGTTCCGGAACCTTTTAACGAAGGCGTCGACCAACTCCCCGTCTTTTTGTTTTTCATCAAGCAACGTTCCGATGGATATTTCGGTGTCGTCGTCGAAGAAATTGGCGAGGAACTTAGTTTCCATGTCGTCCCAGCTGTTCACGCTTCCTGGCTTGAGGCGACGATACCAATCGAAGGCGGCTCCACGAAGAGTGCCAACGAAGGACCGTATCATCAGAGGCTCATTACCAGAGATGACACCCATGTGCGATTTGAAGTAAATCAAATGCTGAGTGGGTGAACCCTTCCCATCAAATGGCGTGAAGTTAATTAGACTAAACTTCGCCGGATATGGGATTGATTCCCACTCTCGTGGGTATGGACAAGAAATGCCCGTCTTCTTCATCTCTTGAGCGGAAATCAATGTATTGATTTTGCTCTCGAGATTCTTAATCTTCAGGTTTTCACCTGAGTCTTCATCAGCATTCTCGTTACCACCCCCTGCATTGATGGGAGGGTTATTGGCATTGTGAGCTTCATTCGCATGTGTGTCCTCATCTTCCTGATTAACCTGGTTACGACAATTTGGTTCGCCTTACTGGTTTATCAGTGCTTGGATTTGTTGGTCATGCATTTCTCTCATATTCTGCATGGCCATCTGCATTTCGAGCTTGAAGCTCTCTTGTTGTTTAGCCATGGCTTCTTCGAGCATCTTGGCCACTTGTTCCGCGCTTATCATAAATGACTCGCAGGGTTGTCCCTCGCTGGATACCGTGTTATCTGATGCAATCACAGAGCAGGCATCCGATTCTTCATCTTCTGACGGTAATCTTGTCCGAATCCTACCATAAGTTCCTCATATGATGGCTCCAGACTGCAGACGGGTTACACGCCGGGGTGCTTCCAGAATCGACTCGGGATTATCCTGTGTCGATGTCCTTTTGCTGGTCATATTCGTGGTGACCCTCGGAAATTCTCCTTCCTCGACTACCGGTGCTGAGCCTTTCGAAGACCGAAACTCTTTCGGGGACCGTCTTGATACAGTTGCACTCAGACAATACCGCCCGAATGAGTTTGGAACAGGGGCATTGAGTTTCTAGCCCTCGGGGACTCCTCTTTCTAGTTTTCCTCGTGCTCCCATCACGATAGTACAACTTGTCAGTTTGAAAGTCAGAGTAACCTATCGTGTGTCGGCACGACTTCTCAGGTATAACGTTATCGTCATCAGACGATAACGTTTCCTTCTGAGGGCGAACTGCCTTCTTTGGGCTCTCAAGAGTCACGCGCCTCGAGGCATGCCTTTTTGGGCGTGAGTTCTCAGCGGGCTCTTGGACTTCGATGCGCAAATTAGTGCGCGCATCTGCCTTGAGCTCCTTGTCACGTTGGAGGTGACGGCGACCCCCAACGTGTTGAGTCGTTCGGGGCTTCGTCAGCGGGCCCAAACATTACTGGACTGGAGCTTTGCCTCTTTCATCGGGAATTGGACCGAGGCGCTCCAGAACCGATCTCCTTCTTCGGGATGATTCCACGGGATCTCCCGGAGTAGCTACTGGTATTACCGGCGACTTTGGTTGATTCGTCGGAGGTTGACCTTGCTTCGAAGGCTGCAACGATTTTGCCTTAGCCTGAATCGCCGCTTCAGACTTCGGCTTCCATACTTGGCGGGTTGGTGGCGGCTTCTTGGCCACCTCCTTCTGCAGTCTTCTAGGGCTTCTTGGACTTGAACCCGTGCCTGCGCTGACATTGCGCGGCGCTCGCGAATGCGCTCCTCAAGTGTTGAACGGTTCCGTTTGATACGGACCCATTCGTTCGTTGGCGTCTTGGAGGAGTCGCCATTCATCGGTCGTTGAGGCTGTTTGCCTCTCCTGTTCTTCAGATCCGCGTTGTAGCGAATTCCGTCGGTGGACTCCATCACTTTGGCGAATTCTTTGGCCAAGCGTTGGCGTTGCCTTTGGCGGGCTCTCTTTGAGAGAGTCACCGCTCCTTTGGTGACGGAGGAATTGGTTGGAACCAGCTTGATCTGGTTGGAGGTTGGTGGAGCCTCACCCGATGCAGCTTTGGCGTCAATCGGGGTGAGATCATCATTGGTAACTTCAACTTCTTCGTACCAACGTACCTTTCTCCTGGAGGAGAACTTCTTGGACTTGCGGGGGAGGTCGATCCGGACGAGGATGACAGATACTCCTCGAACTTCTGTTGATCGAATTCATATTCGACCTCCTCTTCGACCGGGATCAAGATCCGCGGCTGCGACGCATCGATCTCGGCAACGAGATCGTCGGCTCCCACTGTGGTCGCCAGATTGTTCGCGGGAAAAATCGTAGCTTTCTTCATTGATTCCATCGGTTACAAAAATCCGGTCTTTTTATAAGATCCGGTTACAACGAGATCAAAAAAGAAATAAAAAAATTACAACTTTCCTTTTTCGAACAAATCGCGAGCTCCTGTTTTGCGGTCACTCGCTTTGGTGGGTTCTTCGCCTGCGCCGGGGTTTATCCGTGGACTACTGCGTGATCTAGATCCGGTCGGATCTACACAGTATAGCAGGTGTTATCTCACGAAGGAAATAACAGCCCCGGAGTATAATCGCGTAGATCTCAGATCCGATCCCTCTCGAACTCCTGCCTTTTCTGACGTGGACGATCGCCGAGCACCGGATCTGAAAGAGCAAGTCTTTAAAGTTCCAAAGCTTCAATCTTTCTAAGTTTTGAGACTTCAATCCAGCAGAGCTTCGCCTCCAAAAATTCCAACCTCCAACAATGAGGCATGGGGGTCTATTTATAGGCAAATGAAAGCGGATCTAGGCTCAGATCTGGGCCCAGATCCGCGCGTCGGAAGGACCTGGTGGCTCGGCTCACCGAGCCGCCTAAGTGGTTCAGTTGGCCGAGCTCTTTTCCGGGTGTTCGCCGCGTCGTCCGTTGTCCGGTTTCGCGGTTTATCGGTTTATTCGATCTTTGCCGTTGATCTGAATCCTGATTTGGCAGTCCGAATCCCGATATGGCAGTAAATCCGCCTTGGTGTTTGAGTTCGAATCCGTTCTATGGTTGGATGACTCGTTGACTGTTAGCTTGATTCCGCATGCAAGTGGATGTATTCCATTGTTTGCGTGCGGTTCGTTAACCTCGTCGCCTCGTTAATCTGTTTCGTTGCGTGTCACTTGGCTTCGGTGTTGTGGACTGACGCTCGTGTTTAGATACGTCACCCAATGGCTCGTTGGTTTGTCAAATCACCGTGCCGAGCTGTGTTCAGGGACCTATAGGCAGTTTTATACGCCTACAGGGGGGTCGAGGGTGGCGGCGAGGGAGGAGTGATTGCGGCAGAAGAAGGAGGTGGAATTGCTAGGGTTAAGGTTTTGGCACTTGGATTTTGAGATGAGGATACAGGAGGAAGAGGAGGAAGAGGAGGAAGAAGAAGGGGGCATTTTGATGGAGAGAGATAATGGTGATTTTGAGTGGGTGGATAGAGGTGAAGTTAGGTTTTTGGGTCAAATACATATAATATATGGGCTATACATGAGCCGGAGGGGCTGGGCCACATTTTGTTTTTAGTAATTGAGGGCTTAAACAAATAAGCAAAAGTAGGAGGGGCTGACTGTCATGGACTTCTCAAATTTGGGGACTTAATACAATTTTTCCTAAAATATAGGAGTTAAAAAAGTTTTTTTTTTTCGTTCAGTTTTTCGTCACATATAAAATCGAGCTATTCACAATCTTGCCCTTGGCAAATCAACGGGTGCGAATCCTTGAGTGGTTGTGCGGGTCCAACTCTTTCTGAGGGCCCGTCGATTTAACCGAAGAAGGCTACGTATTGCCTACACAATTTAATCCAGCCATCGGTTTCTACATGCCCTAAAATCTCCAAGAGCGCTCTCTCTCTCTCTCTCTTCCTTATTTCATTGATCAAAATCGCCCTCTCCGCTTCTCCGACTTCGAAACGCTAGCGATAGGAACCGAATCTCACATTCAAGCAAACCCTAGAGAGTAAGTCAGCTAAATTTCATCTCTTTATTACATTTTTTTTGAGAATTTTAGAGAAATCGTTTGGTTCGCAAAAGAATTCTTCTAGATATCTAGGTTTTATTCCATCTAACCTCTAAGATCATCTGACCCTTGCTTCTGATTCAATTTAATTGGTTCAATTGTTGAGATAATGGGTTTCCATTTGAGGCGTTTGACTGGTAGCTTAATTTGTAATTCGGTCTTGTAGTTGTCCTTAGATTACTTTTGATAATTTCTTTTTGTAAGTTGCATGTTGCTGATTAAAATTTATTGGCATGATTTAAGTTATTCTAAATGTTTGAAATAATTGGCCTGCAATGATAGATGCTACCGGTAAATTAACATCTTTGGGGACTGATACAAGAAAAAAGATAACATTTGATCGGAACCTTAATGTTCATGGGTTTTTTTCTTTATAAAAAATAGGGGAAGAATTAGAAACATTTTTTAGATGAATCAATATTATCAAAAAAAAAAAACTAATTTTCCCTTAAATTAAGTTTTCATATTGCATTCAAGCACTAATTCAGATGCTGGGAATCCAACTCAGTCAAATATAAGCTTTAGTATTCATTTGATCCAATTCTACCACTAGTGGCATGCATCTTTCTCAAATATGGTAATTTAGTAGAAATAGCATCAAATATAGTTGGAGATTCTTACACATTCTTATCTATGAAGGCAACTTTTTAGACAATGCAGTTCATCGGAAAACATAAAAGTATTATGTTTTGTGAATCAAATGTTAATGACATCTTTTGTGCTTATTACATGGACTTACATAAAGAACTATTAGCAAGTACTAGCTAAAAATATACTACATGATCTTTCTCATCCCTTGTCATTCTTTCCTCTCTTCTTGCAGGTGTCCATCAGCAAATGTTTTTTGAGAACTGACAGTTTATTTCAGCCTCTGGCTTTTACTCTCTTCACATTGCTATTGGCTTTTACTCTCTTCATATTGCTATAGAGATAAGGACAATATTTGATCAATGCCATGAGCACCCCTAAAAGGTTGCATGAAGAGGGAAGTCATTCATCACCTTTAAAACGACCACTTGAGGAGGCTGGTGCATTTTCTGGTGTTCCTGGAAAAGTACTAGCTCCAGTTGGTAATGATTTCCACCTACCTTATGAACCTGGACAGGATGGACGCACAACCAAATTCCAAAGAATTGAACCTCGTGATATTGATAAGAGGTCATCTCTTATGCATCGGATGTCTTCCTCTCCCAGCAGCTTAGACCAATTAATTACCTCTGAGAGCAGATCAGATTTAAGAAATCCAAAGGATGCGAGAGATGTTAAGACTGAAAGCAGGGAACCAAGGAGTGATGCTAGGGAGTTGTATTCTGAAGCAAGGATGGATCCTCCTGTCAGCAAACCTGAGAATGAGGTTAGAGCAGATAATCGGGGGGATGAAAAGGAATTTAGAACTGAGAGGGGATCTCACAATGATTTTAAAGGTGATGCGAAATTTGAAAGAGATAGTTATGCAACTGCAAGTTCTCATATGACTTGGAAAGAGTTAAAAGAACATCAGAGGGGCAAAAGATATTTCGAATCCTCAATTGATAATCTGGATCCATGGCGTGCTTCACGGCATGGCTTACAAAATACAGTTGAAGTTGCAAACTCGAGAGCTGAGGAGTGGGATTCATCAGAAGCACATGAGGCTGTCGGGGAAAACAAAATTGATATGAAAAGCGAAGAGAAATTCAGAGAGAAGGATAGGAAACGAAAGGAGGAAAGACAAAGAGATTTTGGAGAAAGTTACAAGGATAGAAATGACCGACGGAGTAATATGCAGGTTGGTGAGGCTAGCAGTGACCGCAAGGAAGAGACAGAAAGGTGGGAGAGGGAACGAAAAGATGCTCAAAGGGACAAGGAACATATTGAGAAGGATAAGGACTCTAGTAAGAGAGAATTGCCAAGTGCCCCTGAAAAGGATTGGCACCACAGTAAGGAGATGCTGGATGGAGCTGTGAAAATTTCTGAGCAGGAAGTCACAACACTGGAACCTAGGAGACTCAAAGATGATAACTGGAAAGTTTCTGATAAAGATGTTAAAGACAGAAAAAAAGAAAGAGATGTAGATATGGGAGATAAACATGAACAATGTGGTAAATCTTATGATAAGGAATTATATGATGCATCTGGTGAGGGAGAGGGGGTGACAGAAAGGGAACGAGAAGCCTTTGGGAATGGTATTCAGCAGCGTAGGAGGATGCTACGAACTAGGGGAACTCCTCAAACACCTAATAGAGAACCTCGATTTCGGTCTAAAGCTCGAGAAAATGAGGGGTATGTCACAGAGCAATTATGTTTAGCATTTTACATCTTTTAGACATATACATCCTATGGTTTATGTGTTTTTAGTTTTCAGCATTTAGATTTATGTGGATCTTGATTTTATTTTTTAAGTTTCTTACTGTGCACATAACATACTTTAAGAGAGGGTAGATGCCCTACAAGTTAGTATTTGGTTAACTTAGTGAAAACACGTATTTATTAGTCACCACTATTCCAATTTTGGTTTCAGACACTTCCATATCAGTGGGAGAATATCTTGGACAGAGCGTAGCTCCTGTTACCTTCTGTCTCCTAAGCATCCATACCAAGTTAATCTCTTCCTGTGTTGTGTGTTGTTTTATTGATAAAAGTATCTTCCATATTTGCATCCTGGTTGGCCCACTTAAAAATGCACAGCATCTGCAGATTGATGACTTTCACCAGTTGACTTTTTTGGTTAACTCGATCTAACCTCACAAGTATTAATATGATTCTGAGGCTGCGTTCCTTTTTACAAAAGTAGTCATCATTTTCCACTTGTCTTGTTTTAAATATACTTTGTAATGACTTCCGATTTGTGTATATCCGCTTACCAAGACGAGTATCATAGTATCTATTTGTCCATATTCTTCTATAAAAGATGAATTTGTACCTTCAAGTTCTGCAATAAACCACAATTTTGTTTCAATTATCAATAAATAAAAAATGGGTTTCTTACACTCCAGCGTTCAAATAACCAGAGAAGCACATTTGACAGCGTCCTTTCTACCATATCATGGTTATCATCATTGCCATCATAAATGGTGGCAGCAACAGCAGTACTGATTAAAGTACTAGTAGTACTAATATTGCTTGGGATCCTTTTGTTAGTAACTTCAATGATTTACATTTTAATTTTCCTATTCATTTTGGAAGCCCGACTTCTATTCTACAGCTTATTCTTCTAAGTTGAGAGATGGGACTGAGTTTTGAGCAGTAAGGACCAAAAACTGCAAATCTCTAAGTGTTATCTTGAGTAACGCATCCATTACTTGTTATTGCTTGCATCAACATGATCAAGCTACGTCATGGCCCAAGCCTGGATCAAATCTGTGTTACCCTTGGCTTGAGCTCAGTATCTTTAGTAATCAATGAAGCTTTTACATCTCTCCTAGCCTTGTTTAGGATGTGGATTCTTTTAAAAAGGAAAAGTGAAAGGACTATTAGATTTTCATCATGTAGGTATTGCAGTTCAGGTTTTAGGATTTCAAAGTTCTGTGATTTTCCATGAGTCAGGAATTGAATCATTATGCTTTGTGTTCTGTAAAACATGTTGTACAATGCATAAGCTTGGAAAGAAACTTTTTCCCATTGTTACATACACCATTTTTCTGAGGGAAGATGCAGACATGCCCTTGGGTTGCATCTATAAAAGAATTTAGTGTTTGGTGATTATTTATGCTTGTTTACCCTTACCTGCTCTTCTGGTTATACTTTACTGCTTGAGTACAAACTATGATGACTCTTTTCATCTTTCCTTTTCCTTTTTCACTTGGATGGCTGTCTAAATAGTTATTTTACTCCATGCCTAAACAGTTATTTTACTCCATGCTTGTAGTTGTCATAACACATTTCAGCTTCAGATAACTAGGATATCCTTTCTTCATTGCATTATGTATAGTGCTTATGTTCCCTGCATACTTTTTGTTTTGATTATTGCACTCAATATAAACCAGTTCGGTTATCGTTCCTTTATCCAACTAATGTGTTAGCTATATCATTTTGGTGAAATACATTCTAGAAGGAAAATTAATACTTTCTTTTTGGAACGTCACAAGATATACTTCTACAGTTATATTTATATTCATGTGCTCACTCCTGCTAGTTGTTGGTATTTTTTTTGCAGATCACAAGGTGAGCTAGGATTTCTTTTCTGCATTAAGGATTTTGTTGATGGAAATTCTTAATTGCAAATTGGGATTGCCAGGAGCATGTCTCGGTGGTTTGACTTTTGCATGTTGTTTCCTCCCTTTACTTCATTCGTGCCCCTTATCAATGTTGTCTGTTACACAATTGCATATTTTCTTCTTCATCCTTCTGTTGATTATAATTGTTCTATGACGAACTTTTGACTCTTGCATTGTTGTGATGATGTGCTGACTTATGTACAGAGTGTTGAAATCACTAATTTCGTGCCATGTTTAGCTTGAGCTAAGTTTATATATGGGATGAACAACTGGGAAGGAACAAAGTAGTACTAGTTAATTTATAGTAGTAATTTAGTCTTTTCTGCATAACCTTACTGCTACATACCATCTGTATGATAAACAGGACAACTATCATCATTTGGCTAGAGATATTTTTGTTCTCCGTTAATGTGTTGGTTTTTATGATCGACAGTTGGTTATTTGAATCCTTCAATCTTGTGTGCGTCTTCAGTTATGCGCTGCCCAATAACTTAGAAATGACGTCTATGTTTTTCTGAGACAGGCTTCTCTGCTCCAGGAAGTTGGCTGATATAACTTAATTCACTAGCTCATCCAATGTTTTCAGAAACTAGCTAAGAAGCCAAGTAGTGCTGTTTGAAGCCTAGCAATTTGCTATACAGTCTAAAGATAAAGCTCTAGTTTTATCGAACTGCACTTTGGCATACAGATTTCCTTGGCCTCTTCTTTTTTCCTTTGGATTTCTTCCTTCAAATTATTTATGAGGGTCTCATTTTTTTGGTTCATGTCTTCCTTCAAGTGACTTAGGAGGATCCTTTTTTTTCCCCTTTTTCGGTTATGTCTTTCTTCAAGTGATTAATGAAGATCTTAACCCATTGTGACCATAGAAAAAAAGCTACCTCCTAACAGTTACTTTAATAATTCCTGTACTTTTGCAGCCTATTATATTTTATTAATCATATTAAGGCATACCTTATTACCTGGTTTACCAATTACCAGAAACACGTGAGGTTCCATGACCACCCACACTTATTTGTTTTGACATTTCTTATGTCGTAACTTATATGCATTTTGTATCATCTTAAAGAGTTATGTTTTATTTTTTCTTGGAGGAAGTAGATAGAATTAGAGACTAAGAGAGTTTTCTCCAGAGGGGTTTGGAGGTGGCAGAGTTAGAAAGAGAGAGATAGGGGCTTACAACTACTAAATGGTTTGTGACACATTGTGGAACTTGCGCCAGGGAAGGAAGGAGGTTTGTAGCTACTAAAGGGTAACTATGGCCGTATGCCTCATATAGCTTGCATTATGTAAGGGGGGAAGAGAGACTTGTAGCTACTAAATGAGTCCATGGGCTAGAGATCTCTAACCCTTCTGTGTGTAACGAAATCCTTCTTTATCCTGGCTTGTGGTGAAAGAAGGGAGGCAAGAGGATATTGGGATGTGCACATATATAACAAGAAGAAAGGGGGACACCTCTCACAATAACATACGGTTTTATTTAATAGATATCTGTTCAAACTTTTATGTAGGTTGTCAGCCCATTAACAAAATTTCCTTCGGCATGGCTTTGTTCAAGCAATGGCTGAATTAGGAGCACCCTTAACATGTGGATTTCATTTCATACAAATCTCAAACTTTTATAAGTTTGTGAAACCTATCTAAGCATGTGAATTGCTGTGTTTTTAGCATGTCAATTCCCTGTTCATCTCCTCTGCCCCCTGCAACACAGTGCACAGCAGCCCATGCTCTTTCTCTCTCTTCCCTGCAGTTGAAGACACATCCGAATTCACTACAGACTTTGCTTAGCCACCAAAACAACAATCAGAGCCAGCACAATTGGTCTCGTATTATCCTTAATATCCGAGCACAATCCTGTGCCACCTCCATTGCCCTACAGCCTCAGCCGAACCCAAGAATAGCCCCCGAAAGCCCTTTTACTTCTCTGTTTGACTGCAGGAAAACTGCTTAACAGCAGGTAAACAGTTCTTTGGTCATTGTTTCTGTGAGCCGCATACATAACCAAGCTGCCTAACAGTAATCCTCATCGATCGTCCGCCCCGTCCCCATCAATTACTAGTCCATATGTCTACAAAGAGATTGTAATGTTAGAAGAAGAGATGTGAGCTATAGTTTAATTTACTCATACAACTATTTTTGGGCTTTTCTGTACAAGAGCTGTGAATAGTTGTCGCTATTTTTTAACTGTTGTTGGTAATAACTTTCCTTGTTTTCTTTTTGCAGGAAAACCTGAGGTATCAACTGTTGTTTATAAAGCCGGTGAATGCATGCAAGAACTTCTGAAATCCTGGAAAGAATTTGAAGCATCTCAAGAGGGTAAAATTGGTGAAGCCTGTCAAAATTATCCCACATTAGAAATTCGGATACCTGCAGAATATATAACCTCCAGCAATCGTCAAGTAAGAAATAGGTTACTAATTTTGAAATAGGTTACTAATTTTGTTACCTTTTTTTCCTCGTTTTGCTCAGCTTTTCATCTACCTGAGATTTTGTTTCTTAGAGTCTTGGAATACTACCCCATGCATAAAAAAATTGCCTAATATTAGCTAAAAGAAGATCAGGTTGTTGGGGCCTGTTTATCGAAGCCAAAGGAATAGAGTGGAAAGCTAAGTTTCCCAAACACCTCATCTGGGATCTTGTACCCATGTCCGACACTTGCTGTATCCTTGTTCGACTTCGATACTCCATGGACGCTCCTTGAGTACACATGCATTTATTCCTTTGTGACCTTTCTTCCCTGTTTTGTCTAGGGAGTTCTATATGTCTGTAGCCGCTAAAAGCACTGTAATTTTTCTTTTTTTATTAGAGCAGTTCCTGCCGTTTTACTCATTTTACTTCGATGAGCTGAAGATCCATTCTAGTATTTTTTTTGTTTCCTTTTTTATCTTCCCTTTTTAGCTAGAAAGTTTACTTCGATATTACTCATTCTAGTATTTTGCTCTTTTCACTTCGATACTACTCATTTTACTTCGACATTAATATCTTACTTTGATATTACGCATTTTACTTCGATATTACTCATTTTACTTCGATGAACTGAAGATCCATTCTAGTATTTTTGTTCCTTTGTGACCTTTCTTCCCTATTTTAACTAGGAAGTTTTATATGTATGTAGCTGCTGAAAGCTTTGTGATTTCTTCTGTTACTAGTGTAATCCTTCTATATCCCAGTTTCTACATGTTTCTAGTAGATTCAAGGATCAGGGATATAACCGCCTGGATAGTCTTTAGTTTTGTATGCCTATAATAGTTCCTACCATTTTATTTGGACCATATCAAACGTCACTGAGGGCTATTACATGCAGGTCAGAGGTGCCCAGCTATGGGGAACTGATATATACACAAATGATTCAGATCTCTTTGCTGGTATGTTCTTTTTCTATGAATACTTACTACATATATAGTTCTATTTTTCACCTCACGAAGTAATTGTGGCTTTGTATGTATCTCTTTACCAGTTCTTATGCACACTGGTTATTGCCGGCCAACTTCTTCTCCTCCAGATGCTATTCTAGAGTTAAGAGCAACAGTTCGAGTGTTGCCACCACAAGAGCGTAAGTTCACAGCCTGAGACTGTATGTTATCGTTTTAATCAAGATATGCTACTTAGTTATTATATGTTATATTATATCATTTTATGGGGGAACATTTGTCAATTTGGGAATTATGAGTATGAAATCACATTTTATGTTAGTGTACTTATAAATTATTTAGTTGCTTTAGGATATACCTTTCATGTTGATACCATAGACCCTCTTAGTGACTTGCTTCCGTGAACAACACATTACACTTAATTTCAGCTCTGTCGAGTGTCTGTGTTCCTATCCCATATTATCGGGGTTCCTTTGACCCTCCATGCTCTTGTAGGAGTATTAGAAGTGGCTGTAGAGGAATTAGGAGAATACGTGCGACTCAATCTGCACATAAGAAAATGCATACATACAATCAGACACGTATTTTATAGCAACAGCATTTTAATTATGTCAGCAAATGAGAAAATGTAGCACCTATTCAACCATTGACTCATTTATTGCATTTGAATTATAATTTATAGTAGCGTTCGGCAAAAGGAGCAGATGGCAAACAGCGGCCGAAAACAAAAAAGATCGGGCCAAAGTGGCAATAAAAGTGATAATAATAGCAGCAAAACTGTATCAGAATAGCAATTACTTAATAACTTCACTTTGTAACTGACAACTGAGAAGAATGTCAGAAACAGAAGAAGAGACATAGAAAAAGAGGAAAGGAGAAGGCCCAGAGGAGAGGGAAAAACTAGGAAGGAGAGTAAGAAAGAGAAGAATGAGAATAAGAAAGAAGAGTTAGTAGAGAAGGAGATAAAGAACAAAAAGCATAGAAGAGGGGGGAAAGCAGAAAGAAGGAAGAGAAGATAAATGTAAGAAGAAATGACACCAAAATTTCAAATATATATGTAAAACAAAAAGAATGAATGCTTCTTCGCTGACGCCATCCTTATTGTGATTGTTATCAACACATTTCCCTGGTTTTAAGGGGAGAATATTTAATAGAGTTAGGGTTTAATACTTCCTATTTGCGCAGAAGATCAATGATTCCAACTGTTTTATTATCTTGTCCCAAAAAATGGACAAGAATATTTGTTTCTCTTTATGTTTCTCTATATGATATCATCATCTTTTCATTATTGATATGGCATATATAAAAATTTTATCTTAAAATTCAAGCCTATGTTATAGGATGTGGTATGTGCCACTATCTAATGTACTAGCGTATAACATATAAGATAATATAGGTGATTTGATATATGCAGGTAAAAAGAAAAAAATCAGGAAAAATGTGCTTAAAAATCACGAAAAAATGTGCTTAAGTGTGGAAATATATTTGAAAGATGAAAAACTGCATGCAGATGAATGGAAAAATGACTATGGAGGACCAGTTGAACCAATGAAATAATGATTGATGACTAATTGGAGGACTGCTTGTGGTTGCTCTATGATCAGCAGGTTCTGCATAGCTGCCTCGCGATCCCAACACACCCCAAATTATTACCATGAGTACATAAAGAAATGCCCACTCTCCCAGCCAATCCAAATGTAGAATGTTAAAAGAAAGGATTTTGTCATCTAGGACCACTACATCTTTGTCAATTCAATGTTTGACCCTCACATCTTCATATTTCTAAATAAGGCTCTGAAATCTTTGTATTTATTCAAAATGTGGGCCTCATTTAAAACAACTTCATAGATTTGAGGGTGTAAAATAAGAATATTGGGGTGTTATTTAAACTACTTAATGAATTTGGGAGACTAATCTAATATTAACAAGATTTTGGGGTCTAATATGACAAAAATCCTAAAAGAAAAAGGAAAAGTACGTGAGGGAGAGTGAAAAGTTATTTACATGGTATTGCTATTTTTTCAACGCATTTCTACAGAAAGGAAGTATATGAATGCAACTCCTGCCATGTACACATTTGCAGCCTCATAAATTGCTTCTTGAACATGGACCCTAGCACTGCTAGTGCTATCTCCAGATATTGTTGAATATTAACCTGTCTTGTATATGGACCTATTGACCAGAAGTTCTGGCTTAACGCGTAGTGGCGGAGCTAGGAATTCATAACAGTGGTGTCACACTATACATAAAAAGATGATATTACTATTTCTTTTCTCATATTCAATATAAGCTGGAACTTTAGTGAGATGTAGAAATTATGTTCAACTAAGTACAATTACAATTGGCCCCGCTTGTCTTCATGTTGCATTGTAGCCTCATTTGAAATACCACTAAGTACATCCATTTCAATAAAGTTACTAAGCAGTTGTTTATCTACTGATCTCCCATTTGATTTCACAGTTCTTTACAATTTTCACTGCAGAAATCCATTTCCCCGTGGAATCCATTGTAGTTAGATACATAACATTTCTTAAATGGGCTATTACTCTATACTTAATGTTGTAACTTGTAATGATGTCACTGTTTGATGATACTCTCTAGTATATAATTGATTTTTTTGCTAGAGGGTGGTGTCACTTGACGCCACCCTCTAACAGGTACCTCCTCCTCTGCTAACACATCTCATACGGTTATAACTACCTTACTACATCCACCTGTCTAGTTAGCCCACCAGTATTTTTTGAGAGAGTATACAAAATTGTCTAAGAGTATGATCTCTTACTAATGATTTTTCAGCACTTATTTTTGTCTGTTTCCTTCATTTGGTTTTATATTTGTTCATATGAATTTTCACTTCTTTCTGATCATAGGTCACAGATGCTACTCTTGTTGTCAAGAGGATAAGCTATCTAAGGAGCATCTTTATCATATTGTTTTATTCCTGATAGGCAGCGTTAACAAAACTGAATTCTAATATCCAACCTTCTGCAATAGCCTTTCCAAGTATGCAGTCTTCTGCAGGTCTCACATAACTTCTCAACTAAGTGTTACCTGCTTCTTGGCGCTGTCAGTCTAAGGAGCCACTAAGTCGTTTCCACATTATATACCACCAGCATTGTAACTTATTTCCAGTGCTGTCTACTACTTCAACAAAAGAAGATTCTAATCATCTACATGATATAAACTGGACTTTTTACTAAAGAATGGAACTGTTGACACTCCGAACTTGTATTACGAATGTAACTAATGATTTTTTGTTCCAAATATTTGTTGCTTAACCTGGTTGGAAGTTATTTAATAATGAATTAGAGTTGTGTATCTTATTTGTCTGATTCGGGTCAGTGTACTATTTATTTCTTAGCGTTATGTTGAGTACTACCTGACACAAGCATGGTTATACTATGGTCGCTCAAAACGATAATATTGAGTATTTGCACCAATTTGTGCATTCAAATTTTCTTTTTACTGCAGATTACAGCTCCACTTTACGGAACAATGTTCGTTCTCGTGCTTGGGGAGCAGGCATAGGTTGTAGTTTTCGTGTTGAGCAGTGCTGCATTGTGAAGGTAGTAGATGTTTCCATGCGTTTCATCATGCCACAGTCCAGTAGTATACCATTATAACCTGCCTATTTAAATTATTAGTGCGTGAAATATAATAGTAATATGTTGGTTTCAAGTCCAACTTCGTCTTGGGCTGGCTGTTAGTCTGCAGTCATGCATAGAATAATCTTCTTGCTACTAGTTCCTTTAAACAGTCTCTTGTTTTTGGTTTATTTTATAATGTTTGGCAGAAAGGTGGTGGCACTATTGATCTTGAGCCTCGTCTTACCCATATATCTGCTTTGGAACCAACTCTTGCTCCTGTTTCTGCTGAACGCACAATGACAACAAGATCTGCAGCTTCGGTATGTTCACTGGGTCTTCCATTTTCCGGTCCCTTTCCGGTCCCTTTATCTTTTCTGTGTATGCATGCTCTCAATTCATCACTTCGGATGATATTTTTATTGTTTAAGTGGATTGGGGTTCCAGTACATCTAGCCATGTCAATATTCTTTTTGCATATTGCTTTCCTTTACATAATGTCAGTTCATAAGCTAAGGTTTAAAATATTGCTAACTTTCTGATGTTTTTTGTTTTTGTTAGTTTTCCTTTAGAATACTTGTTCTCTCTCTGAATTATGAGATTGTAAATTTTGAAAAAGCTAATGGCCCGCAATGTTATTATCCACTGACATGAGAAATCTTTCTTTTGGGTGTAGTTTCTTCATTTCTAGCTTGCTCTGTTTCTCAAAGAAATGTTATCCGGTTTAATTGGTGCTTGATGGCTTTACTTTTGCAGAACGCACTGCGGCAACAAAGGTTTGTGCGGGAAGTCTCAATCCAGTACAATCTCTGCAACGAGCCATGGTAATATTTAGTCTCAAACTGAATATCGTAGGATACTATCATGTTTCTTTGATGCTTATTGTCCAATGATTGGAAGAATATACTTCAGTACAAATTTTCTATTATGCATATTCAACATGCAGATATTTACAGACTTTTAAAATGAAAACTAATAGCAGTGAATTCGAAAAACAGTTCATGATTTTTAGAACCTTATATTTGATGAATTATTTATTTAGTACCTACCTCTTTATCGCTAAATAGCTGTAAATTCTGTCTTTATTCATTGGTTATCAAAAGCGTGGAATGCTAGATAACCCTACATATGAACTTGCTCATCATTTCGGAACTTTGCATCTTGGTAGGCTTGGATTGGGCCTCATGCAGATTGAATCCGATCTAAATGGAAGCTCCTTCCCAAAAGGAAGCTCCATCCTTTTGGATTGAATCTGATCTAAATGGTTATGGTTTATGAGTCCCAAAAGGAAGCTCGATCCTTTTGCAGTTTATATTTGAACCTGTCTCAGTAACCCGTCTACTAAACTGCCGTATATTAAACTTGCCAGGATAGATTACGAGTTCAGTTAGGTATTATAAAGTGCTTGAAGATAAAACTTCATCCTGTAGGAATAAGATGATCCTACCTACCACTAAGGCACCAAGGACTGAATTTTGTAATTACAGCAGGATAAAAATTTGCTGTTTGAATTAAAACATTTAAAATATTTTGAGTGTACTATGTCAATTGGATTAAAAGGCCTAATAAAAAGTTAGCTTGGTCTATAAATACCTGACTATGCCTGAGCTCAACCTGGTAACTTCAAGCATGGGCAGGTTGAAAGTGCCACCTCTAGGTTATCTAAGTGAAAAATCCGCTTGTAACTTTCAATTTGAGAGAGAACAAGTTTTGCTAGCTGGAGGAAAATGATTGCTTGTAGCTACGCCATATATCATAGATGGCATAGTTTTTTAGTTATTGCTTCTAGTATTTTATCTATTAGCTGAAAAGTGGAGATTAATTTGTCACGAGATCCTGTAATCAGTATTAGAAATTGGTACGCAGATAGGCTTTCACGTGGAACACAAATGACATGGCTGGACCTAATGAAGGCCTAATAATCCTTCTAGGAATGATCCTCTGACTGAAGTGGGTCATTCCTAGGATCATTTTGGCCCCAACACATGTATAAGTAATACCATCATAATCATCATTGTCACTATGAATGTTCCAATTGGAGATTCGAGTTTGGATCCCATTGCTGCAAAAGCATATATTTTTTTAATCTAAATTGGAGATTTGTATTGGTAACATAATCTCAATCATCTGAAATGTCTGAAAGAAAAATTCAGCTGTATTATTACTGGTGCACCAAGTGGTCAGAAAATGGAGGGCTTATACTAGCAAGACAAGTTGCTTAGACCTGATTTGATGTACTATCATATACTTACAATTGATATGCTTCAAGTCTGAATCCTACTGGTCTCTCGCTCTCTCTCTCTCTCTCTCTCTCTCTCTCTCTCTCTCTCTCTCTCTCTCTCTCTCTCTCTCTCTGTGCGCGCTCATGTTTGTGCGCTAGTGCACGTAAGCACGTGTGTGTGGGTATATATAATCTTACAATTAGGCATCAGCAGATCCTGTATATGCCATCACAGATTTTCCCCGCCTACTGCAACTTTAATACTTTAGCCTAACTGTGGGGGCCCGCTCGAACCTATAAGGATGTAGTATATACATAGTTAGCCAGGAATCCATCAGCATAAGGTTTTGGATTAAGTAGTTATCAGGTTGAGAAAAGTAACATTTATAGTCAGTATATTTCTATGTATTTAAGGCCTTGTTCTTTGTCTTTGTTTATTTCTGCTGGATAACTGGTGAACGATTTATTAGTAAGAAGCTCTATTGCATGAAAATGTGCAGATCTAACATCACCGTGATTTGTTTAGTGTGATAACATTGGGTCTCTTGTGTGGATGCTTATTGCTGCAGGCTGAAATACAGTATTAGCATAGTTGCTGATAAGGGATTAAAGAAGCCTCATTATACATCAGCACGCTTAAAGAAAGGAGAAGTTCTGTATTTAGAAACACACTCAAAGAGGTGAGGAACCTCATAAAGTTGTCCTCTCTGTAAATTTGCTTCAACATGTTTATCATTTTCTGTTTTGCTTTTCGTCTACTTGATAGTTTGCATTATCCTTATTAGTTTCTTTAAGGATGAATCGGCAAGTAGCCAGCAGAGTTTCCAAGCTAAGGAATACTATTCGAACAGAAAGTATGTATTTTTAGAATATACATGTTATGTATTTTTAGAATATACATGTTCTGGTATATTTTCTTTCCCCTTTAAACAAACAAGGCACGTTAAGTCAGATGAAAACTCTCTCTTTCCTCTCCTCTCTTCCTTTCAAAACGTCTTCTCTGCACCTAAGTTCTACCCCAACTAACCTCCCTGCCCTTCACGGCCACCTCCCAATACGACCGCCTCCGTCTTTGAGCAGAGATGCTGCGTTCCTCTCTACCCAGACTCTCTACCCAGACTCAGTGACGCCAGCTGAATTCAGCGCTGCCATGTGTGTATCCTTGTTTATTCTTTAATTTGATTTTGATGATAAGCATATGTTTTTTTTATATAGTACTAGTAGTAGAAACCTGAAGGTCCCTGATGTTTGTTGGTTACAAGTAGGATTAAAAAAGATATAAATATATTTATACTTGTATTCGTGCAAAATGTAGTAATTGGGGTAAGAGAAACATTTCGCCCTTGAACTAGATTTCTTCTACTTTAAAACATTCATTTTGACCTGTCAGATGATTTAATTTATTTCATTGAATGATGCTTGTCAATTAGTTTGAACCACTAAGATTCAAGACAAGTAATATGTGTGTGTGTGGGTGATTGTGCATCTGTTGACCTTGAATTTCAGGAACAGTATACAAGATACTATCATTCTTGCTATTACTACCCATTCCCGATTGCCCATACACTTTACATATATTAAAACTCTTCACCCACTGCCCTTCGAGTGCTATAGTTTTGTTCATTCTTGTTCTCCAACTTATTACTTATTTTTTGGTTAACTTCATCACTATTTTCTACCTCCACTGGTTGGTTATTAGAGGGTGCTAGTGGGTCATATCTGTGTTGGGTCTTGCTTGATCCTAAACAGGTCTGGATCAGTTTAGACGCTATCGCAAGTATCATGTGACCTGGACAATCTCCTTATTTATCTCCTCACATGGTTGTCATGAATATTGTTGATTTGGTAAGAGACAAGATTGATGATCTTTAAGGATTTAATTAGATACATTGCATATATTTTGATGGGTGTAGATTAACCCCTCGTGTAGTATATTCATCAATGAGATATAGCTTTTTTTATATCTTCGTCTCAAGTATATTTATCAATGTATATTCGTCAATGACATTAGGGCAATAAATTTTTTCAGCTATTAACCCTTTTTAAAATCCAGGCATTAAACAATATATGAACATTAACACCCATATTTATTTAGGCATTCAGAAGACATTGCTAGAAGACATTGCTAGAAGACATTGCTCGATGCTATGTTCCGAGTTGGCCATTGTTTTTCTTTCTAGCGCTCATCTAGCACTCAGCGAGAACAACATAAAAATGATACAAGTATTAATTTGTTTTCAAGTCTAGCACTTCAGAGACCCATAATAGCATAATAGCAAAGCGACCTTGATTCGTTTGCATCTAAGATCTTTTTGACCTCTATTTAAATACAGTTTGAGGTTTATTTTTTTAAATCAAACCTGACTCACAACCACTACATCCCATCATCTCCCACGATTTTTGACGTATTCCTGTCGCCTCCCACAGCCACTGATATCTCCCTTAACACTTCCTCTCACCTCCTCTCGTCATGAGCTCCTATTGCAGTCCTCTTACTACTTAGCTCATCTTTTCGAAGACGACGACTCTTTGACTCCTCTAGTCGTCTTTGATATTATGTGACGATTATATGTTTATTTCATATTTAGGATCTTTTTAAATTATCAAATATGCACTTTTATATCTTTTAGATTTTTTTTTAAATTTTTATTGAGTATTTATATATATTTAAACTAGACTGCTGTTTGACTTTGCGTTTTTTACAGCTATTTTGCGGTAATAGCCCCAAATAGTCTTAGCGATGCCTCACCGCTATGCGACATTATCCTTAGCCTTATTTTTAGCTTCTAAATTATTGATTGAAGTATAAATAGCTTTTTGTTTTCTATATGTAGTTATTTTCTTATTGATAATTATAGAGAATTAAAGGAAGGCTAAATTCACAAAGTGAGCTAGAGGATGATAATGCTCCTCTATGGAGATATGCTCAAGAACAACTATGGGAAGTAGTGAAAATTGGGAGTGGCAATGCAACTATTGTCATGAAACTTTCAAGAGTTCTCATTCGAGTGTAAAAAAATTATCTCTTAAGAACTTTATTATTTGGAATCAAGCGCCGTGCAAATGTGAAAAATAAAAATATTGTTGAGATGAAGAAAGTGTTGGAGCTACCGGAACTTAGGTTGAAGGCAAAGAAAGGCAAGTGTATTCCATTACCTACATCAAGAACAACCACAGCAACTAAAGTTGCTAAGAGAAGAAGGGAAACACTGTAGAACAATATTTTAATCATGGAGCATGTGATCATCTACATCATCTCATTGTCTGAATGTTTTACATGGAGTTTTATCATTTATTGGCAAGGAAACCATTCTTCAGTGAATTATATAAGTATGTAATCAATTCGAGTGAAGATAACATGGAAAAAGATAAGGGCACACATCGAAAAGTTATTGGAGCCCATAAAGATAACATGGAAAGAGAAAGGTATCTATTGTTAGTGATGGGTGGTCCGATTCACAAAGACCACCTCTCATTAATGTGATGACGATGACTAGAGAAAGACTAATGTTTTTGAATACTGTCAATGTGGAGGGGAGGACTAAGAATATGGGTTATATAGCAGATGTTCTCTTGAAAGTCATTGAAGAGGTTGGTCCTCATGATGTTGTGCAAGTTGTAATTGACAATGTCCTATTTGTAAATCCACGAGAGACATTGTAGACGAGAGACATTGTAGAAGGAAGAATCTTCATATTTTTTGGACCCCATGTGTTACGATATACTAAATCTTACTTTAAAAGAATATTTGTGCAACAAAGAACACTAAAAGAAATGAGGTAGTGTATGAGGGATGTAGTTAGATCATCGAAGTTAGCGACGATGTAATGATAAATTTTTTCAATATCACTTTGAGATTGTCAATGTTAAATAATCAAATGAGGTCGAGAATGCTTGCTATCGTCAAACTCAAGCTTCGTCTTATGAACTTGGTCATTGGTGGGACGTGGAGTCTTTATCGAGATGATAGTGTCGAGAGGGCCCAATTTGTTAAGGACAAAATTCTGGATAATATTTGATGGGATAAAATAGAATATATCATCTTTTTTCCCTAGCCAATCTATAACATGCTTTGATTCGTTGATACTGATAAGTTAGATCTTCATTTAGTTTATAATATGTGGGATATGTGATTGAAAAAGTTAAGAGTTCTATTAATAGAAAAGAAGGCAAAAGAGATGATGAACATTCATCATTTTATATTGTTGTACATGCTATCCTAGTTGATCGAAGGAACAAGAACAACACATTATTACATTGATTTGCTCATTCACTAAACCCAAAGTGAGTATTTTTTCTAAACTAAACTTTTAATCTATATTGGTTAGTCTTTAATACTTTATATTATTCATGAATGTTTTTCTATTAGATATTATAGTGTGGTCTGGCTAACCGAAGCCCTAAACTGAGTTACACCACATAATCATCCAGAGATCTCTAATGAAATTGCTAAATTTTCCTATTTTCCTAATTTTCCCAATTTCCTATTTTCCTAATTTCGAGGTGCGGAGAATGGTTAACAAAGAAATTGCTAAATTTTCTACCACACATATGCATTTGCATATCATGACTCTTTGCATGACGGGGAAAATGGATGCAAAGTTCTGGTATGTTGTCTATAGAACATCTACCACAATTACAAACACTAGCATTAAAGTTAATCAGACATCCTTGTTCCTTTCCATGGTTTGAGAGAAATCGGAGCACCAAAAAAATTCATTCATTCTCTAATGAGGAACAAAATGAATGCATAACAAGCGAAAGACATGGTTTATGTTCAAAAATCTCTTCTTCATCTTTCAATGAGATCCTTAAAAGTATTCTATAGAGACAAAGATATGGGATACAAGAGGTGATGAATTTGAAGTTTTTGATGGTGCTAACATTTTAGAAGTTGCAAAACTTACTCTTGATGAGTCGGTGCTTGTGGTCGGTGTGTTTGATGGGTATGAAAATGTTGAATGATGATTGTCTTAGAACCAGTTCTATGCAAGGGGTATAGTCCTAACTTTTGGGATATGCTTGTAAGTTCTAAATATTTGGGATATAGTTCTAAATTTCAAGGGTATGTTTGCAACTTTGAACAATAGACTTGTAATATTTTGAGGGATGTTTGTAACATTTTGGATATACTTCTTACTTTTGAGGGTATGCTTGTAACTTTTGACTCATTTTGCAAGGTAACTTGTACTTCTCTATGAAAATGGGAATTTGATATTATCTTAAAATCAAGTAACGTTTATTATTGATTACACAAGTAAAGATTGCATAACCTACAATTTTATCTTTTTTTCTCTATGTTCTGTTTCTTTTCTTCTTTAATCATTTTATATATATATATATATTATATATATATATATATATATATATATATATATATATAATATATATATATATATATATATATATATATAGTAAAGCTACATAAAACTTAAGTTGCTTAAGGGCTTAATCCAATAACTTTTTTATCCATTAGATTTGTTTGAGATTCGTATTGGGCTTGGCATGTGATTACATATCAAGACACATCTCGAAGATAACATTGATGTCTATCACGTGATAACATGAAACTTAAGGAAATCTAATGGAAAAAGCTGGTGGGTAGAGCCCTCTATATGTATATGTATGTGTGTATAATGGGTATGCTTGGTGCCAAGTACCAAATTGGTGCTTGGTAGCGATGTGGCCATCCACTCATCTAATGAGCGGGTGATTAAGTGAGGCCATTTTTAAATGGGCACCTTTAAATGTGTGGATGAGAAACATCCACGTTACTACCAAACACCAATTTTGTGCTTGATACCAAGCATACCCGTTATTCTTAGAGTACACACAGTCGTATCCCCATAGCCTACCTTTTACAAATTTATCGTGTCCCATACCTGTATCTATGCAACTTAGATGTCTAGTCATATTTAGATTATAGATTCAGTAGCTTGAGATCATATGATGCCTCATTCGTTATCGGCAAAACCTGCATCTGATTGTCATGTTCGTACTGATGATGTTCTTTTGTTCTCATTAAGAGCATTTTATCGTATTCATCGTGTTTTTAGGGCATGCAAAGCGAGGAGGTGATTGGTGGAGGCCGTAAGTAGCGTTGTTTATACCTCTTGAACTATAGAATCTAGATCCAACAATTTTTATTTCCTTTAATCCCACAATATGATTATTCTTGCATAAATTTGTCATTTTACCGATCGCTTTGAGATGTTTGATGTTCTTTGCTCATTTTATAAAGAGATATAATCTCAATTTGGAATGAAGTCAAATGCTTACGATTTGATAATGCAAAAGAATACTCACTCCTTATTTAAACATCACATCACACTTCTTGAGATGTGATTATCTTAGTTTCAAACGAAGGATTTAGGCCCCCTTTGTTACTTTCTTGTAATAGAGGTTTCGGCGTCTAAAGCTGACATTTATATCTCCTAAAGGAGGAAGTATGTGATAGAGGTTGTCGTCCTAGTGACACAGCTATGGATCCTAATTTATGACTCAGCATCCACCTCAGGCACCCTGTTTTATGATCTCGATGGATATCGACAATTGGTCAAAATTTTATTCTATGTTTTGCTGTAAATTGACCTGACATAACATATGCAACCAGCTATGCAAGTCAGCTTATGCGTGCGCCGGCCACAGTTTATTGGAAGGCTATTCTTTGGGTCTTGAAGTATCTCTGGAAGCCTTCGGGCCAAGGACTTTTTACCCAGGATACACTCCCTCGGATAATTCAGATGTTGTTTTTGCTAGCTCAGTAGATAATTGTTGTTCTACTACCGGTTATTGCTTTCTTTTCGATGATAATCTTATATGTTGGTAAAACAAAAAGCAGCTTGTAATTGATCGTTCAAATGTTGACCCTGAGTACTACATATCGCACTTAGTATTGGAGATTAATTGGCATGTCTGTTCTTTTTGATTTGGGATTTTTCCTCGCTTCAATTGTTCCATTGCACCAGGCATCAATTTACATATCCGAGAATCCAGTTTTTCATGAGAGAGCCAAACACATCGAAGTTGATAGCTATTTTGTTTGTGATAAGGTTCACAAGGTGGTTTCTCTCTCATGTTCCCACTAGTTATCAGCTGGCTAATATCTTTGTGAAAGTATTACCGCTAAAATTGTCCAATCCTTTCGGGACAAGTTGGGCAAGTTGGGCTTTGCTAGTCTCTACGTTGTAGCTTGACCGGGAGTACTTGAAAACTTCTTTCCTTTAACTTCCTTTATCATGAATATGTGGATATGGCAAGAAACAGGATTGAGGATCTTTAGGGATTTTATTAGATACCTTGTATTGATTTTCATAGACTTTCATGGGTGTACATAAACTCCTAATGTACATTTGTATTCATTATCTTCTAGATCCAGACTTTTGTCATTTGGGCCATTTGCATCTTATCATATATACTTTGGACTGTACATGGAGCAAATTGTTATAATTAATTCTGATCATGCTCCGATAATGCAGACCCACTTGCAGCTTGTTTGTTATTGTGCTGCTCAACCTTTTAGGTCTTGTCTATTATAATAAGGACAATTTTAGACAGTCTGGTTTCTTACCGCTTTATCAAATAATTTACTGCACTTCGAGGATGAACATTACAGCATGAGAATTGACAGATTTGTCACTTCTATCATCAAGGGGTGCAGGGGTCTCATATGATGTGGTGGTGTTAGTTTATGGGGCTGTTTCATTCCATGTTATATTGTGGAAAAGGAAAGCACTGTTGACAGGGCGATTGCGGAAATGGGTTGCCATAAACCCTTCCATATTTTGTGTGTTTGGTTTGGCACAATTTTCTGGAGATTGATTTCCTAAAATATCCAAAAAGAGCTACATTTCCTAGAAATCCATTCCGAGCTCGGGGAAATATATTTTTCTTTAATAAAAAATGGTGTTACCTATTATGCTACATACGATGCATTATAGACATAAACGGGTTATTCTATTCCACCTCTTATAGAGAAAAGAACATAAAGAAAAATACTTAATAGCACATGAATAAATTTACACAAGATTTCTAAATCCGAGTGCATGCAATGGAGCCGGAGACATTCAAGTGAAATCGAATACACTAAATAATTTGATCCATGGACAGTATCGTTGTGGTAAAGGAGGCCATAATGCCAGAGGAAGCATTACTGCATGGCATGGAGAGGAAGGCCCTAAGCATCTACGTTGTAAAATCGATCTTTGATGGTTTTAATGCAAAATGATTGTTGACCTCTACTTTCTCTCTCCTTTTCCATAAAGTTGGAACTCTTAATCCTTTCTTCCTTTCCAAACAATTGATTCCTGGAAATAATTTCTACCTCAATTCTAATAGTGAAACAAACAAGGAATGCAAGGAAATGAATTTCAGTAGAGGAAATTCGTTTTTCTAAAATAGTGGGAAACAACCAAACAACCCCTAAATGTAAGCATACAGTTATGAGCAAGTCTAAGGTTGGGTTTTCTTAGGAATGGTGCGGCAGTTCTCAGGGGTGATATATTGTTTTGGATTTGGTTTAGTGAACATGTATGGAGATTATGTTAGGGTTGGGATAGCCTTTGCAGCTTGGAGTTTGGTTAGAGATGGGTGAGACGGAGTAATTGTTGATAAGATTTGGGGTCTGGGCTTTGATGAGGAATATATTTGAGGAGATAAGGGGTCTGAGCTTAGATGAGGAACATATCTGAGGGATAGAGTTAGTATTTTGTTAGAAATCGGTAGCAGTAGGTATACGACTGAACATGGACTTTGTGGGGGCAGGAATAGGCTTTTCCGTTAGAAGTGTTAAGGGGCTCATTATGTCAACTATAATTACGGTGTTCTTATTACTGTGTTCTTGTTTAAAATTAAAATTGTTTTGGAAAACTTTCCCGATTTGTCTGTCCATGTTAGACATAACTATTGTGTAGAAATTGGGGCTTTTTTTATCGGTCTTTAAATATTGAGAGGTTGTTTTCTGCTTGTCAAAATTTAGCGTTCTATGAAAAATTCTGTCCCTACTGCCTTTTCATTTTCCCAGTCCTCATTGCAAACTTATCATCTATCCCTATATTTTGTGTTATGTATTGCATTGTTAAACAACTAAAGGTCCAAATTTTGTAACAAACTTATTTGTAATTCTGCATTTGTCTCTTCGTTAGAATAGCTTTGGGCTAGGGTTTAAGTTCCAGGATCTGTGTAGAAAATTATACATGGATAATTTCAAAATTAGGATAAGCTTCGAAAGATGATTTATGGATTTGGGTTAGACTACTATAGCATTGGAGATTAGGCTCAAGGAATAAGGAACAGACAATGTCGGCACTGGAATGAGGTTCTGGGCTAGGGTTTGGAATAGGCATGAACGTAAAATTTGGGTTAAGATCAGGCTAAAGTAACAGCTAACTATGTTTCGGCTACTTTATCAGTACTAAACTAATTTTCTTCTCTTAGAAAAATTTCACTGCATTTTCTCTCTTGATGAACTTATAATTTGTATATGGTTCCTATTTGAGAGCATGTGCGCTCTCTGCTAGTATTGGACAACTGTAATTGTTGTTTGTGTGTACCTATCTTGCCTTTTAGCGTTTTCTAGTATGCCTTTGATCTTTACTTTTGTTACTCCTCTTTAATTCGTTGCAAATATTTGATGTAATTTAATATCTATAACATGAGAAGGTTGGACTTTGATCAACTTCCATGAATGTTTTACTTCATTCTGGAGTCTAGTGATAGAATCACCTACTGTGCAAGCGAAAGGGGTCTTTTTCCAGCTCTTCCTTTTCTATATTTTATTCATTTTAACTTCTCTTCTGAGAAAGGGTCTTTTCCCAGCATTTATCTTTGCTCTCATAAGCTCGTGTTAGGCTGCAAGGGAGTGCTTTTGGTTGGAAGCCAGAAATGATGCTAGTCGGGTTGTAGCATTATTGCTCATCTCAAATATTTCTGATACTACTCGCTTAAAAAATCTTCATTGCCGATTAGGGCTTGAATTCATGTTTTTTTTTCCTGATGTTTATTAGTGGCTTGCCTTGGTTTTAGACGTTTATTGCGTACAGTAAGTCATAATGATCTAAGGTTCTCATTATGGTTGCACAAAACCACCAAGTGAATCGTGTTTACCAATGATTATTTGTTAATGTTATCTAGTGTATGTTCTATTTTTATTGAAAGTCACCTGTGGGGGAGCTCTGCTTGCTCTGGTTTGCAAACGCTAGTCACCTATGTACTTGTGGTGGTTGATCTTGTTCAAACTTCTATCTTTTTACCTATTAGATATATGATACCAATGGAGACCATATACTAAACTATTAGCTCCTTTCTAAATTTGCACTTTTCGTGAACAGTGATATCTCCTTTACTTGCTGCCAAATGTTCACATCTTGGCTTCTGTTTTGAATCTTTTCATGATTGTTTGACTTATTTAGCACTAGAAATATGTTTCCTGAATCATCTCTGCTCTGCATGCAACCATTGTAGATATGAGCTGTGTTACAATGGGGAGAAGGTTATCAGTAGTGGCGCAGCAGGGACATCTGCTCATGCATTAGAATCAGAGCAGGAGAAGCGGCAACATCATAATTCACATTTACAAAATGGTGATAGAAATCATGCAGAACGCGAGCATGCGGTTGATATGTTCCGGTTTTCTCGCTGCAAGAAGATACTCCCAGCAGAAATTATGCTTTCCAGTGGTATCCCTATGCGTGTAGAGGACTTGGAGGTAGTATATTTAATTCTCTTAAGTCCAGATGAACTTAATTTACTTTTCCTATTCGTCTGTACATAATAATTTGTGATTTAATAGAAAATGGTTTTTGGTAAACTGCAAATTAGATGTACTATGAGTAGAAACATCCTCCAACAGAATACATGGGTGGTTAATTGCGGAAAGACCTTTACTACTGTCCAACTGCAGAAAAGACCCCTGTAGTTCTATTATTGTACATTGTGTGTTTGACAAACAGACATCCTGAGGTAAAAGAGTTTTTTTTTTTTAAATTTGGGCGGTCTATCTGCAGGAACAGAACTACATGGTTCTCTCCGCAATTGGGTGATACAAGGGTGGGTTTATCTGCAATTAACCTATATAAGAGTAAGTGTGCTGGTGATGCCTGAGGAAATGGTTTTCTTAATCTTTTTTCACCTCAGTGGGAGGATGGCATTGAAGCACCTTGTTAAAAGATTAAAAAGAAATGGTTTTATCATATAATTCCATTTTATTAATTTATTAGAATATTTCTTCTCCGTAAATCAGGTTATTGAAGACAATGTAGAGTGGGAAGATCTGCAGTGGTCACAAACAGGTGTTTTGGTGGCAGGGAAAACATATGCCCTTGCGCGAGTTCATTTTCTTGCTTCAAAGAAAAAGTGATTTATTAGAAATTTGTGTGCATTTTCCCAAAAAAAAAAGGAAAAAAAGAGAACGAAATGTAAAATATTTGTACTTTCATGTAAAATGCTGCCTTGGCCATAGGTGCAGCTCCAGCCTTGTTAACTTATTTGTCTGTTGTGATGCTAATAAACCCGTATTGTTATTTACTGGTCTAATTTAGAACTTTCGGACTTGTGTACACCTCTGTCCTTCATACTTCGAATTGCTGTTGCAATGCTGGAAATTTTATGTAGTTTGCACTTCAGTTAATTTAAGCTAATTATCTAAAGCATCAGAGTCTTCATCTGGATGTGACAGAAGGTTGGAAGTTTCATACGCGTGCTTGAAATTTTTTTTTTTTTTTAATCAAACTGGATTGTGTTGTTTCTTTCAGTTTTCTTCTTCTTGTGTTTGATTCCTGCTCTAAATCGAAGTTGACAATTTATTTAATAAATATTATCATAGATTATAATTAAAATGATGGGACGTTGAAGAACGTATGAGCGCTCGTTATGGATGAGCTTTATTAATTTATCCCTTACCACAATTTGTTTGTTTATAAATGGAGTTTGTGTTGACAAAGAGAACATTTCTTTAGACCACCACTTTTCGCTCCTAAAATGGCTAAGAATTTCCCAATAATTATATAGAGTATTTTAGATTGATGTATGTGCACTTCCATACTAATTTGTTTAGTGATAAATAGGTTAGCATTTTATGTTACTTGGTCAATTGGAATATTTGGAATAATATTAGCATTATATTTGGAATAAATAGGTTAGCATTATAAGTTATAATTGATCTTTCTCGAAAATCATGATATTACAAAAGCAACAATGACAATAGTAATAATAGTAGTTGTAGTACTAGTACTAGTAGTAATAATATAAGTAGTAATAATTCTCATTACCATATATGATTAAACATATGCGAACATCTTAGATGTTTTATGTAGAATTAAACAATTATACTCATTCACATGCATTTTCTCTCATAAAATTAAGAAAGAAAGCCAACAAAACATATTTGAAGAAATGAGGAAGAATAGAGGAAGTGTAAATCTACTTCTTTATTACTAAAAGAGAACAACAAAAAAGCTAGAATGAATAGTAAATTTTTAATTTTCCACGTATTTACCCTCAATTCTTCACAACCGTCCATTGTTAAGTTAATTCACCGTAACCATCCAAACTCCCCACGTTTCAGAACCAAAACCCACATCTCCTTCAATAATCTTTGATGAACAGTTAATGAAAACCCACAACAGTTGATGACAACCCACGTTCTCTCTCACTCTCTGTCTCTCACATTCCCCATTTTGTCTTCTCTTTCTTCCGAGGAGCGGCATGAAGCACTTTCCCCATTTCTTATCTCTGCTGATTTCCTTCCCTTCCCCTTCCTCCACTCTCCCCCTCTCCCCCTCATGGCCGCTGTCGACTCCGTCGACGTCCTCGCCGAAGCCCAACCTCCACCGATCCCTACTTTTGCAGTGGCCACATTCAGAAAATCTAGGGTTTCGATCTAAGTATTAGGGTTTCAATCAATCTTTAATTCTCTTGAAATCTTGATCATTAACATAAACCAAGCCAAGAAATGGGACAAATTCAGTACTCGGAGAAATACTTCGACGATACCTTCGAGTACTGGTACTCTTTCAATCAAAAAACCCTATTTTTGTGCATTTTTTGTTCGATTATATCTTCGATTTGATCTTGAATTACAGAAATTTGATGGTTATTGAATTACCAGATAAGCCCCTTTCCTTGAAATGTTTCAGCTACGGAACAACATCCAAAATGAGAACTCTCCGCAGAAATTTCGAATTTTGTTAGACTGGATATCAGCCTGAGCATCCCTATGGTTGATTCTAAAATTCCTGCCCAAGTTTACAGTGAGAAAGAAAATATTTTTATAAACCATGGGAGAGAAACTGTCAAGTAGGAAAACTAACCTATTGGTCAAGTAGATTAAACTTTAAAACAATTCATCATGAACAACCATCCAAAACATATCTTAAACTATACTATGTCTATAATGTTGAAGGCAGAGCATGTACTTGTCTGAGTGGCTTATGTCAGTATCTTATTGAGCGTGGTTGCAAAAATTCTGTGTGTTAGAGTTCACTCCAAGAAGCTCAGGCAAGACAAACCAAGAATTGTATACACATTTTCTCTTGAGGCATGTATGGAAGTGCATGTATTTATGTGTATTTTTTTAGAGATCAATTTTTATAACTTATTCCTTTGTCAAAGAGTGAGTTTCAAGCATGCACATGTATTAGCCATGTGCAAACTGCACATGGAAAATATATACCTGGATTTTACATAATGAAGATTTGATTTTTTGCTTTACAATGGTGTGCATGTCAACCAAAAGGTTTTGCATATTTGTGTATGTGCGATGAACATCATATGTGAAACAGTGAAGTTTTATTTTCTGTCGGAGATCTTTCAGAGGTAAGTTATAATGTCATTAAGGAACTGCATTTGTAAAACATAGGTCTCATGAGCTATCTACTACAAAGCTTATAAAAGGTGCCAAACTCTGGTTTGGCACAGAAGGTGAAGTAGATTGATGTTCTTCTAACCGTGAGATTTGTAATGTGCTATCTGTGTGATATCCAAATTCATGTGATCTAGGTCTATAACATGTACTCCTACATACCATGAGACAAATGTCAACGAGCTCTGAAAGGAAAATTTTAAAACTTCGGCACTCGAGCTTGGGTACAGTAGTACAGAAATACTATATGTATGAAGTATGTGCCATGATGTGTATATATACACTTCTTTTAAAGTGTATATCTGGTGAATGTATTACACTATGGCCTATTATGAAACATTAGCATTCAGAGCATACATACAAACATATATTGTGGTTTGATATGCATAACATGTATCAATATTTGATCATCTACAGTGGATGGGTTATGACATTTCTAGACATGCTGTATTTCTTATATCTACATATTAACTTATACAAATTTAATTAGCTTGTGCATTTATATCCCTATACTCAATCCCACTTGACATCTGATTGGTTTGATTGTGTGTAATAGAAGGGAAGTCGAGGTATAAAATCTTCATTCTTTGCACAAGGCCTGAACAATCTTTCCCTTGACGAAAAAGCAAGAGTAAAAGATTATAAAATCTTCATTCTTTGCACAAGGCCTGAACAATCTTTCCCTTGACGAAAAAGCAAGAGTAAAAGATGGCACTATATGTCTCAAGCCTCCTCCTCCCCTGGGCCCATTATCGCACGTTACTCCTATCAATCGATCCCCGTTCAACTCACCACAATCTACATCAAGTACTCTGAGCAGCACGAGCATAGAAGCAGTATGTGAAGACTCACAATCCCCAGTGAAGGAAACAAGCTCTCAAGAGTTAGTAGAAGATGACTTTGTGGATTTTCAAGCAGCTGGTTAGTTCTGTGTATGGGATTATTTTGCCGAGAGCCTTGCTTCCTTCATTGGTGTATTTCCAGATGTCCCCTGTTTTAGTTGATGGTCTGTAATTACTATTGGTTTATGGTTTTGTTGACATATGGAGGCGTTGTTCATTTGAGATCAATTTCTGTTCCCTTGAGTTTCAATATAACAATGTATAGAGGTTGAACCTTAGCGGTTAGACATCTGAATGCATGTGAATTACTTCATCTATCACTGTTACACGATATCCAATATTATGTGAAGTTACATGATTTTGCTGAGTTGTACTGGCGGAACAGATATAAGTAATGCACGTTCATCTGGTCGTCATTAGATACTGAGCTTCTAAGGACTTGAACAATAAATACTCTTACCGTCTTTAGTTGCACCAAAAATCTGAAAAATGTGAGTAAGTACTGAGGGATGTAATTTACATGTGTTTTGGGTGGGATTTGAATTGCTTTGATACCATATTAAAGGTCACCATTCCATCATACCGTATTATAAAACTTAAGCGTTCTGATGCGGCAAAAGGGACTAATAGATGTATCCTTTCAAATACTGCATGACATCCAAAATTTTATCCAGGGGCTAAAAAACTTTTGTAAATTACTACATGATAGCCAACATTTTATCTGGGAGCTAGAAAAACTAACCGAGTTCGATTACACAGCAATATCACCATCTACTACTTTTTTTAACTAAAGAGGAACAATAAAAGGAACAGTAGATCCTAATCAGCATATCCCAAGCCATGTTCTCCTTAAACATTCCCGCCTCCTTTCTTTAACCGTACATTTTTTTAAATCCCCACGATTCTCTCTCTTCCTCTCTCAATATTTCTTCAGAAAAAAAAACTTCTCTCCCCCTATCCCCCTCATGGCCGTTGCCGACTCCGCCGACACCCTCGCCGAAGCCCAACATCCACTGATCCCAACTTTTGCAGTGGCCACATCCTAAAAATCTAGGGTTTCGATCTAAGTATTAGGGCTTCAATCAATCTTTAATTCTCTTGAAATCTTGATTATTAACATAAACCAATCGAAGAAATGAGACAGATTCAATACTCTTTCAATCAAATCTATGTTTACTATTAAAACATCTGCCACTAGGCTAGCCACAAGTCAAACATTTAGTATTTATCTATTACCTCCAATGGAAACAAAGGAAATAAATCAAATTTGAAAAATGGCTCTATTCCATTCTCTAATAAACTAAATTGAATTGAGATTATTTTAATATTATTTTAAAAGATTATCTTGAACTACAATGTACTCTAAACTGAGTTGATATCATGTTAATATTTGATATTAAACTACTACATTCTTAAAACAGAATGTAAATTATGTTAGCATTATTTCAAAAAAGATTTTATATATGAGATTTAAGTCAGTTATAGAATTCAATATCTTTTAAGATTATAGTTTCTAAATAACTCCTCTTAATCCATATAGATTAGAGAAATTTGAAGAAAATAACATATGTTCATTAAACCTATTATCAAGACTGCACATTTTTCCAAATGAATTTTTTAACATAAATTTGTTACTTTTTTCCATTTTCTCTTTTTTCCTTTTTCTTTTCTTTTTCTTTGGTGATTTTGTTTAGGCCAGTTAGTTAGAATTCTATAACTACCATAATTTGAAAATCATTATAAGTAACATAATTTGAAAATCTGTCTAAAAAACCCACGGTCAAAAAATTACCACTAAATTATGCTTAAAAACAAAAAACAAAAACTAAAGAGAGAACAAATATTTGTTAAATTTAC